AACTCATGAGAAACATTCTGATAAACCTCAACACTTCTCTGAGGGAGTCATTTGTCACTCATTTGTGCTTTTAAGACATTCTAGTGCTAAATAGTGACTTAATTAGTACAAATTGGTCTTGATCACATAAGGCTTCCCTGCATCCCAGGTAGAAATCAAGAAAGCGAAAGCAATCGTACCACTTTGACATGGTACTATGATAATATCAGGATCTAATTCAGAGCCAAATGCCGCGTATGGCTCAACCTCGTGAATATGTTAGCATTCCATCTACCGTTTTGGATAGAACAGCTTCTGCGGTGGAGATGAAGCGACTATGCGTTGCTTATTCAATACGCTACCCATAGTCCTCAGAACTGGCTCAAAATTGGATCCCGAAATCACTGCGGAAGGATCTGATACGATTTTCAAAAAAAAGTCATGATGTCCTGAGACACCCTAATATTCTCTGGACCTTGTTCAAGAACTTCTGTGGACGGGGAGGTGCTTTCAAGCAGTAATTTATACATCTCACTGTTCATTATGTTTCATATTTTGTGAAGTTTTGATCAAAGAACTTCATTTCAGGTATCGTCTCTATACTATGGACGCGGCACTTGAAATAGAATCACGGCAGGATTCTAACGAAAAAGATGTTCCGAACGACTGACGACTTGAAACCGTGTTCTTCGAAGGCCAAGCCACAGTCCCGCTGCGTTACATGATGCTGGACCTATTCTCGAATTTGAGGTAAAATGAACTCTTCACCCGTTTGACATTGCCTTTTATTATCTCAGAATAGCACTACAGCTGTGCTCACAAAACAACAAAAAACAAAAAGAAGCTCACCCAGGGAAAAGAGTTGGCCTTATCCCGACCTAAAAAGAAGTGAAACCTTCTTACCTCATGTTCCAGATCTGCTTATGCAACTTATCAGTTAGTAGCCATTATTAAGAGTAAAGAAGGTCTCACAAGTTGATTCCCTTATTTATCAAGCGAGCGGTCCATAATAGCGTTGGGGCGCGCTCTGCCACGTACCGACGATCGCGGCGATCGCCGCCGCTGTCGCGAAGTATGAACGCTGCCTGAGGTACTTCGGCGCAACCCTGATAGTTCCATGAAGTTTTTCCGCTATTTTATGCATCGGAAACAAGCCTCCCTCTCTCCTAGCAAGAGCAACGGACTCCGCGACAGTAGGACTGCTCTCGCTAAACGTCGTTACTCATCTTGTGCCGTGACCTTGACTTCAGTGAGAATCTTATCAGTGAAGTCTCTCTTCCTTTAGTCCGTAGCCCTGGTGCTCGCTTGCCCGTGCTTTGAAAGCACCTGCTTCTTCACTGGAATGGCTTCGTGGCACTCCCAGCGTCCTCATGCTATCACAATCAGATCACCTCGTACGTTGGAGAGTCCTCAGCAGGAGGGGGAAGGGG